TTGATCCTAACTAGCAAGGATGTTGCTAGTATCACTTTTTTATGGAATGAAAAGAACTCGATTCATAAAAAAAAAGATTTTAAATGACTTCAAGTGAACATATGTTAATAAAAAAACTTAGAACCGTCAAAACCATCAATACCTTATACACTAACCATATACACCCTAAACCATATGTACTTTATACCATATTCCTTAACCATATACTTTATACCCTAAACAACGAACTGTCAAAAATTACTTATCAAGTTTAGTATGATTGTTGGCTCATATTCACCCACCCATAAATTTTTCATTCCAAAGTTCTCATCCAAACCTCCCTCTCATTTTCCATTCCAAAGTGACCCACAACCCGATTAACCAAAATTTTCAAAACCACAACCCGACTGAGTTATTGCAATCGTAAGACTTAACTTGCCAAGTTTAACACCCATTTTGAAAAGAAAATTCAACTTGAAAACAACTTAAATGTGCGCAAATTTTACTAAGTTTTGTAAAATAACGATCATGTAGTGTTGAAATTGCAATAAATGTAGAATCATAGGAAACAAGTAGACAAATTAAGTGAATTTTTCTAAAATAAAAGATTGTTGTGAACACCAAATTTGTTTTCTTCTTTCTTTTTTACAAAAAAAATTAAAATACTAAAATTCCCCTCCTTCTTTCTCCTTAAATAAATTAGAAACACTTAATTTTCTCTACTCTTTCTCTTCAATAAAATTGAAAGAACCAAATTTTCCTCCTCTTTCTCTTTCATTTGAAAAACCAAATTTCCCTCTTCCTTCCTTACACAAAAAGGTGAAAACTCAAAATTTCTCTCTTTATTTCTCTTTCATAATCAAAAGAACCAAACTTTCCCACTTCTTCACTTCCCACAAATCAAAACCACCAAAATTTTCCCTTTCTTTTCTAAAAATTTGAAAAAAACTAATTTTCCTCTTCTTTCTCTTCCCAAAAAGTTGAATACACCAAAATTTTCCTATTCTTTTAAAATCATCAAATTACCAAATATATTGTTTTACTTTATTTATATTTAATCGACAACTTTATTGAATAGTTAAATTAACCAAAAATATCATTTATATATTATATTAATATTGTACATGATCTCAATTATTAATTATTAATATTCACATTGTGCTGATTTTATATTTACTTTTTTAATCTTGTTAAAGAATGTTCAAGTGACCTTCATGTTTTAATTTTTTTAATTTTCTTAAAATACATACTATCAAGTGAGTTTCATATTTTTAAATTTCCTATACGAAATGAAGAAATAATTTTACCTAAGTATAGAATGAAACACTTTATTTTGAAAAAATTTATTTTGAAAAACTATGTATTATATAATATAATAATTATTAAAGTGGATTAGGTGAAGTTTGGGTTGAGTCGGTAGGGTTGCGGGTTAGTCGTGTTCGGGTTAGTCAGGTTCGAGTAAATCGGGTTGTGGGTCAATCGGGTTTGGGTTAATCGGGTTGCGGGTCATTCGGGTTGCGGGTCGGTGGGGTATGTAGATCTTCTTTTATCCATATCCTCAGCGGGTGAAGATGAATATGGAGGTCTCTCACAATCTCTTTGTGGTTTTTCTTGCAATATTTATAGTTACTAGCAAAAGCCAGCTCGCTATCGCTTCGCGTATCAAAAATTTATATATTTTAAAGAGTAATAATTTTAATGTTGACTAACAAGTGAAAGTAATCTTATTTTATTCGTAATTATTCTTTTCATAGGTTTGTTATTTACAATAGCATATGGTCGATGAACTTCTTTATATTATTTATATTTAAATAATATAGCATAAGGTAGAAGGGTCGTCGAATATATTATTTATATTTAAACTTCTTTCATGACGCCAATGTTTCAATTTGTATGGCTAGTAGTTGATCCTGCTGTAACTTTTTTAGAATGAAGAAGTTTTTTTGGATATTTTCAAGAAGTATTTTAAAGAAATTATTGAGAGTTAAGATGAAAAAATATCATAATTACTTTCTAATATAAGAGGCAATAAAAATTACTAAAAAATATTTCGAAAATAAAATATGAATACAAATTATAAAAATAAAAATGTATTTAAAATGGATCACGTTAAATGAATTTCATATTAAATAATAATATTTTTAATTTATTTTTTTATAATGATATAAATGAAAGAAAATTATGTTTTCTAGAAAAAGAATAATATATGGTAAGGATAATTTTGTATTTTCAAAATAACTTCAATTTTTTAAGTTGCGAAAAACTTCAGTTTTTTAAAAAGCGCAACTTTAGAGGTGTTTGGCTTGATTTCAACTTTTGAAACATAAAACTTCTAAAATTCGAGCAAAACATTGTTGTACTCTTTTGGAATTTTTTTTTGTTTGAGGTAATCATGGTTCTTCTTTATGAATTTTTTGGACTGGTTGTAGGTTTGAAGAGGTTCAACTCGCATTAATCGGGTCATATTAGGTTGGATACCCATGGATTTGGGTTCAATTATCTTTCTCAAACAAAAGGAAAAAGCAAAATGAAAAAAATACTAAAGCTAAAACTCCCTACCGACTCAAAAACTCGTTAACACCAGGTTCAACTAGCTTTGACCTGGTTCAGAGGCGGACCCACGGGTGTTTAGGAGTGCCCCGGACACCCCTAAATTTTGGAAAAACGATTATCCAACCTCCGGTAGTAATTTACGTATTGACAAAAAAATTATAATTGATAGTCGGGGACACCCCTAAATTTAAAAAAGTGATTATCCTACTCTCATCTTTTAGTTTGAGTATGAGAATATAAGTCGTAGTTTGGGTAATTCAAACCTAGGACACTTTTATTATTAATAAACATAATTTTCATTAGGCTACAACTCATATGTTATTCGATTTTAAAGACTGTGTAATAGTATAATGTCATTCTCTATCTCTAATTATTTTCAAAATCTAACAATTAAACAAATTTCAAGCTACCCTTAATTTGTATTGATTTATGGTTGTACAACAGGTATTGAAAGAGTCTTTTCAGCTTTGGATTACATAAAGAACAAGTTTAGAAATTGAATATGAGATCAGTTCGTGAATGATTGTCTAATATGATATACAGAGACAATTTTTTTTGAATAGTGTAGACCCCAAGTGTGTTCTACAATAATTTTTTAATATGAAAACACATTGTGAATTTTTTCAAACTGTATGAGTAAAGTATTTCTTATTTAAGTATTATTTATTTTTTTATTAATTATTTTAGAATTATTTGTATTTAATTCATTTTTTAAAAGAGGACACCCCTATGTAAAATTTCTGGGTCCACCACTGCCTGGTTGGACCGAGTTTTTGACAAATTCACACCTGACACAACACGCCAATTACAAAAACAGATAAAACTCACTCCTGCCGAAAACCTGTAAAATTGGGTTCAAGTCGCGGGTCGGGTCGAATTAGATTTTATACCCATGCGTTTGGAATCAATTGTCATTCTCAACCACAAGACAAAAGATAAATAAAATACTAAAGCGGATAAAACTCGCTCATGACCCCAACAAAAAGGAAAAGGTGAAATAAAAAACACTAAAGCGAACAAAACTCGGTCTCGATACAAAATTCGCCAACATTGAGTATATATGGTATGAATTTTTGGTATAGGCGTTGGGTTCAATTGTGATCATGCTCAACAAAAAGGAAAAAAAGAGAAAGAAAAAAACTTTAAAGAGTATGAAACTCGGTCTCGATACAAAACTCTTGGTAGCGGCCTTGGGAAACGATAGTGGAGAACAATCTAGGATTACGCCGACAGTATTTTGAGATGGGCTACAAAATGGTGGGCAAAGGCGATGATTTGTGTTCAAGTTAGGATACCCATGTGTTTGGGTTCAATTGTGATCATGTTCAACAAAAAGGAAAAAGAAAAAGAAAAAAAACACTAAAGAAGATGAAAATCGGTCCCGATACAAAACTCGTGGTAGCGGCCTTGGGAAACGGTGGTGGGGAACAACTTAGGATTCCGCCGACAGTATTTCGAGATGGGGTGCAAAATGGTGGGCAAAGACGATGATTTGTACAAAAAGCCATAGATGAAAACCTAGTGAACAATAACTAAACATAAAGGCGATGATTTGTGCAAAAAGTCATACACGAAAACCTAGCGAACAATAACAAAACACAAATGCGATGATTTGTGCAAAAAACCATAGACGAAAACCTAGCAAACAATAATTAAACACAAAGGTTGTAGAATGGAAGGTGGGGTAAAAGAAGGTCTTGGAACTTCTCCACTTGCACTTGGAGTAGTGTGAGAGCCACTAATGAATAGTAACTCCCATGTTAGGCTTTTATATATGCAAAGACGACGATTTGTGCAAAAAACTATAGACGAAAACCTAGCGAACAATAACTAAACACAAATGTGATGATTTGTGCAAAAAGTCATAGACGAAAACCTAACGTACAATAACAAAACACAAATGCGACGATTTGTGCAAAAAAATATCGATGAAAACCTAGCGAACAAAAATTAAACACAAAGGTCGTAGAATGGAAAGTAGGGTAAAAGAAGGGTTTGAAATTTCCCCAGTTGCACTTAGAGTAGTGTGAAAGCCATTAATGAATAGTAACTTTCATGTTAAGCTTTTATATATGAACGAAAACCTAGCGAACAATAACAAAACACAAATGCGATGATTTGTGCAAAAAACCAAAGATGAAAACTTAGCAAACAATAATTAAACACAAAAGTTGTAGAATAGAAGTAAAGAAGGATTTGGAACTGTTGGGATGAATAGTTTTGAAAAGCTATAAATGAAATTCCTAATTAATTATCCAGTATTTTCACATAATACAAAAATAAGATGGATAATTAATAAAAGGAATATTATGGAGATAATTAAGATTAATTATCTTAATAGATTATATTTTAATTATGGGAGTAATTATCTCCCTAATTAAAATGTGACTTATTCCCAAAGAAAGAGGGAATATTCTGGGTTTTCTGCTCCTATAAATAGCAGACCCCCAAGACCCTCTAAACATACATCAGAAGAGCAGAAACACGAGAGAGAGTGAGATTCAATGAGCTTCGGTTTTTCGCACAAAACCGCAGAGCAAATTTAATGAGTGGTTGTTTTATCCTGGAGGAGACCGGCTGATAGTCTGTTGTGCGAATAACGAGGCAGTGCCGCGAACTTCTTAAAGAGAGCGACCTAGTCCGCGACTCAGCCAGATAGGTAACCCTAAATTTATGTTCGATTTCCAACAATTTTAAGACGTTTGGTTGCTGTCATATTTATCGACCAAAATACTGATTTTGGCTGGATCGATTTTTTTCCTTTCGCCGCCGTGATTTTTTTCCGATTGCCATGGAAAACAACGGATCGATTCAGAGGCTATTTGGCAATACGGAGAGATCGGCGGAGATTCATTGGAACGCAAGCTCTTTGGATTACAACTATTTGGAACGTAGACATTAAATTCTTTATGGGGCAATTAATCAGATCGGGATGCGAGGATTGGAGCGGCAGAGTTAAGCGAAATCAATGACGCAGACTTCAAAGAACAATTCAGTGTTTGTATCAAGGAGCTCAGCCTGGGAAATTGGAAAAGAGGTCGGGCTGGTCAGGGTACTTAAAGCTGACCTCGATATTTCTGTGTGGCGCTCGAAGGACAGAACCAGCTTCTTCAAAATTCCAATGATACTGCTAATGTACGAAGTAGGCGTCAATGCCATTGTCAAAAGAAATCAGGCGGCAGATGCTATGGAGGAAGTCTCTTGCTTCCTTGTCGGTTCCGTGCAGGCACCTGACTGGCATCCATTCAGCTTAAGCTCCGTTAATTACTTGTGCAGGCGATGGAATGGTTAAATGGAGAACTATTGTACATTTTGGCCACGGATGTTTCCCACCATCAATCCCACGGGTAGCACCACCCAAAACTTGTTGCTTAGTCACCATTGTCGTCTCCTGGAATTGTACCATGAGGAAGGAGTCCCCTGCCAAATCCCCTAGTTCCTTGCGAAAGAATAAGCGGGAAGAAAGAACAAGGGGATGGTCTCCCAATCAAATCCTTCCCTGGTCTGCTTGTAAAGGGGGGAATTAATTCCTCATATATGGGGTCCCTTTGGACTAGCTAATTGCCAGGAAGGAAGAAAATTGAGAGTCTCAATTTAATGCAAGCTTATTCGTCATAAACTCCGGTGGTTATATTTCTAGCACTAACCACTCGAGCCCTATGATTGGAGGATGGCAATGGTTGGTCCTCTTTTGCGGCAACGAAAAAAATTGAGTGTACAACGGCCTTCTCATTATGGAATAAAGGGAATCAAGTGCGGAATCAGCTCACTGAGCCGAGCATAGCATAGAGATGAAGGAAGAGGACAAGAAGAACTAGGTTTTCAAATGGACTATTTTCAAATGTGCCCTCTTACAGCAAATTGTTCAAGAAATAGGAAAGCTACGCGTGGTGCTATTTGCTGTGAATTCAGAAGGCAATGACTTCTTGAAAGAGGTAAGAATTTCAACCTTACTTGTGAGTCATTTATGAATGACAAAATTAGAATATATTCAATAGATCTTTGAGCATACAATTGAGAACTCTGGTGAATGCTAGAGAAGAAGCTAGAATTGATGCATGAATAGGTTGATAGTGAGATGTGTTATGCTTAATGATTAGAGTACAACTTAGTATACATGGAGTAATTTTGAATGCATATTCCATGGTAAATGTGCTAGTGAAATAGGTTGTATGCCCATATTAATTTTTCGAAGAAGTACTGATTGTCAGTACTAAGCGAGTCATTCGTGCGATTCTGAAATGTAAAAGGTTCAAGAATAAAAGTAGCAAACCGAACCAGACCTTACACCAACCAGAATGGTACCCTCTTGGTAACCAATGCATACTAAGACATATGCTATTAAGAAAGTGTTGTTGAGTACTACTCACTCCACTATTGGTCATGGTCATGAGGTATGCATATGATGATAAAGTGAAATGACTCTTAAATATGTGATTAGAGAATCAGAATCTTTGGATTTGATTCATTTTGAAATGGGTGAACGAGAATAATGTGAAATGCTTTATCACATTATTATTGATTGCACTTATTAAAGATGTGATGCTTTTGACAAGCTTTTGATGTAAAACGTTATTTATAGTTTGAGAATCACTGCAATATAGATGAGCATGAGAGTGAATTATTGATTGTGCTATCAATAATAGAACACATAAGTTTAAGAAATGAAATACTCATTGTTGTGTAGAATCCATTAATGTCATTCCATTTTAAATCAAGAAATAGTGGGGGTAGTGTCTTGCCTGCTATTAGAAATAATGGATCTAGTGGGGGTGATGAATTTGAGTATGAATTCACAAGAGACAAATGAACCATAAATCACTAAAGGATTTTGGTTATGAATTTGTTATTACACCCTAAGAAAGATCCCCACAAATATGTTTGAAGTTTGAACTTCCATAAATATGCAGATTCGTGAGAGAATCCATTATTAACGAAAAGGAATTTCTGGAGTCTAGTAAGACTTAGAATCTTGTAGAGTTGCCTCTTGGTTATAAATCCTTGGGTAATATATCGGTGGAACCAAACAAGATTTGGCATATTTGAGAATTACCTCCTCACAATGAAGCCAAGGTAATAAATGGATTCGTAAAAGGAAAACTGAAACCTGATGGTTTAGTTTATGAGTATAATGATCGCCTAGTAGCTAAAGCTTTAGGTAAAGAGGCAAAATTGTAGATTTCTTTGATATCTATTCACCAATATGTAGAATAACTTTCATGTATGAGATGAATGTTAAAACTTTTTTGTGAATGATGATTTAGATAGGGATATCTACATGGGACAACCTATAGGGTTGTTATTCCTGAACATGCTTATGGAGTCTGTAGTTAGACAAATCATTGTAAGATTTGAAACAAACTCTAACTTGATGGCATGAATAAGTTGGTTCTCTCTCATGGTTTTAATGAAAGTGACAAGTGCATTTAGTACAAGTTTGAGAATGGCACATGCACTATGAATGGCATGTTGATATTTGGTATAAAGACTCATGATATCAATGATGTGTAAAACCATGTTTGAGAATTTTTAATGATCTGGATGAAGCTTGTGTAAGCTAAGAGATCCAGGTAACTATGACAATTAAATAGATTTCCTCTAGATCAGTTTAACTACATAGTAAAGATCTAGAAGAAATACAAGTTGTATGCCTGCATAAATGGTTGATGATGCTAGTGTAAATATTAAATAACATTGGAAACGGTGTAAGAAACTAAGAAAGTTAGAATATACTAGCATCGACAGTTTGCAAGAGGCAGCTGATTAACAGGAGACCCTACATTGTGGATTATTTGGCAGGTTTACTTGATGTCCTAGTATGAAGCATTGAAATGCTATTGAAAGGGGTCATGAGACACCTTAAAAGAACAGAAAACCTTGGTAATTTAATCAAAGGTTTTGCTGTATTGGTAGGGTATAGTAATGCGGACTAGAATACCCTATAGAGGACTCTAAGATTACCAGAAGCTATGAGAAGTTGTGTCTTGGCAGTCTAAGAAAAAGAAGTAAACTATTTTGGCTCAATCAACTATGGAATCTAAAATGATAGAACTAGCAATGGCTAGTAAAGAAGAAAGTTGATTGAGAGGGTCATTACTAGAGATTCCCTTATGGGAAAGACCGTATCCGCCGGTATTGATCCATTGCAATAGGAATTGCTAAATAGAACCGTAACAAACGGTGAGAGGCGACAAGTTCGTCATAAGAACAGTACTGGAAGAGAGAGTTCCTAACTGTTGGAGCAGTAAGGGTGGATCACTTAAAAGAGAATCTAGTTTATCCTTTGACGAAAGGATGAACTTGAGATTATAAAAGAATCTAACTGGTCCTTTGACGAAAGCACTAGCTAGAGAGAAAGTCCAAAATACCACAAAGGGTATGAGACTTATGCCTACCGAACCATGGATTACAAGTGATGGTAACCCGACCCGATAGACTGGAGATCCCAAGAAACGAGTTCAATGGGTGATAACAAGTCATGAGTAATATTGAGAAAAGTTCATGCATAGTGAAGCATGAATCCCAAAGCCTTGGAGGTTGAGTTAAACTCTTAATGAGATCTATACTCTATGTGGAGTGAAGTACTTTACTTTGGGGTACTTCTGATAGACTCACCTATGTGAATGTGGAGTGGGGCCGCTCCCTATGGAACTTTGGAGGCACAAAGTTGCTAGAGCGTTCACTAAACTGGGATAACGTGCATGGCCACAAACGCACGGCCTATGAGAGAATATCACTCAATGAAAAGATCAGGTGTGCTACATTGTCTGAGATAGGGTTCAAGACTACGAGTCACCCTTATGAAATCGGAAGTGTAACCACTACGCTAAGGTTCAAATCTTCGCGATACCTTAGCTTATGCACGATCTTATGGAATTGTTAATGCTTAGAGATAGTTTCAAAACTATTCAAGTAGGGGATTGTTGGGATGAATAGCTTTGAAAAGCTATAAATGAAATTCCTAATTAATTATCCAGTATTTTCACATATTACAAAAATAAGATGGATAATTAATAAAAGGAATATTATGGAGATAATTAAGATTAATTATTTTAATAGATTATATTTTAATTATGGGAGTAATTATCTCCCTAATTAAAATGTGACTTATTCCCAAAGAAAGAGGGAATATTCTGGGTTTTCTGCTCCTATAAATAGCAAGACCCCCCAAACCATCTAAACATACCTCAGAAGAGCAGAAACACGAGAGAGAGTGAGATTCAATGAGCTCTGGTTTTCCGCACAAAACCGCAGAGCAAATTTAATGAGTGGCTGTTTTATCCTGGAGGCGACCGGCTGATAGTCTGCTATGCGAATAACGAGGCAGTGCCGCGAACGTCTTAAAGAGAGCGACCTAGTCCGCGACTTAGCCAGATCGGTAACCCTAAATTTCTGTTCGATTTCCAACGGGAACTTCCCTACTTACACTTGGAGGAATGTGAGAGTTACTAATGAATAGAAACACACATGTCAGACTTTTATATATGAATGTCTTATGAATAGTATTCATAATTTGGAAACTCATCTTTTATATACCAGGAAAATAAATTATTATATTCAATTATCTTTTTCAAACAAAACAACATCGTAGTGAATTTGGTAGATGGAAGATATGATTACATCCTTTTTGTTTTACTGGGTTTATATAGTATCTGTTTGTGATGGAAAGATGGGCAGAAGAACTCCGGCTATGACTCTCTAGAATCAATTTTCTAAAGGTGATATAGGTTTTGATTTCTTCGCCGTCGGTGGAATGGGATTGTTCTTCTACGGGGTGAAAAGTGGCAAGTATATACTGTTGCCGGTCTATTATACCTTTTCTGAGGCATTACTATAAGCGGAAAATTGTTATAGATTTCAAGCTACCCAGAACGGCGCAATGGAGTGTTACGGAAATGCCACCCTCGTCGCTTCTATTGGGGTTCAGCTGACCGGCTTGAGTTGCTTCGCCCAAGGGCAAGCTAGGTATTCCAAACCTCTGCGGCCGTGGGAACCCTCGACCAGTGCCTAGTGGCAAAGTCAGGATTCAAACATATTTGTGTCCTCTTCTCAGAATATAAATAAATAAAATTAATGAATAAAATTAAAATTGAAAATAAACAAGAAATAATCTTTAGTGTAGTGATATGATACTTATTCATTATCCAAAAAGTCCAGGGTTCAATACTTGATATAGGGCTCGAAGTTTGGTACCGGTATTAGGGATATACTGTATACCATACCGAATTTATCACTATTAGGTATTACCGAATACCGGCTTATTTTTTAGGAATTGAGATTGGGATTCATTTTCAAGTGTTATTCGGTATTCAGGATTACGAGATTGGGGTCGGTATATATCGAAATACCGAAAGTTAAAAATTAATGAAATATAGCACACAACCTTAGGTCATTCCTCACCCATTCACAACTTAGAAGCCCCCATCCAACACAATTTTGACTTTCAGTCTAAGTCACTCTCATCTCTCACCTAATCTCTTGTTATTTTCATAACTCCAAAAAACAAACACTAGTATTAGTCGTCTCTCAGCCTCCAATACGTCATATTAAAGATTACCAATGACAAGAATTTGAGATGTCACCTCTCCTCCATTCTCCTTATCCGTATCCTAACTTTAGGCAAACTCAATACTCGTTGCTTAGTCTCTTTGCCCTAAATTAAACAATTAAATTAAATTAAATTTATATATTTAATTATTAACTGCAAAGGTAATTAATTTTCTATTCGATAACATCGATTGTGATACCAAAATATTTAGAGATTGAGATATCGTAATTATTTAGGGATTGAGATTGACATTAATTTTAGGATGTAATTCGGTATTTAAGATTTCGGTATTGATATTTCGATACCAAATATCGTACCAATTTCCACCTCTAACTTGATACACATATGGGTATTATTTCTCTACCCCAAATTTCACATGTGTAGCCTGCCTACGCCTATGTCAGCGTCGTCGCCAACTTCACCACTGCTTTCACCTTTGCCATCGACAACGAAAGCAGTACCGGAGCATGCGACGACCTGGCATTCTACATCGCTTCTTCTAGTTACAACGCCCCAGGGAACGGGCTCGTCGTGAACTAGACCGGCCGCAACGGTCCTCCCTCCACGGTGGCGGTGGAATTCGACATTTGTAACAACGATTGGGACCCGTGGTACGACCTCAGCCACGTCAGAATCAGTGTGAACTCGGTCCATTCGACGTCGAGCAAGCGGTGGCGGAGCTACACCAACGGCGGGACAATGTCGGCGCAAATCTCTAAGAAACAGGGGAAAGTTCGGTTAGCAATTAGAAGTGTTGTGGTTTTGCGGCGTTGGCCTCGACTTCGGAGGGTTTATTTAAGCAGAAACGGCAGCAACCACCGTCGTTTGTGGCCAAGAATGCGGCGGCGGAAAACAGACGAGAGGATTCGCTGTTCGTTCTTAATTTTAATAAGTTATAATTTTTTTCTAATAGTTAGAAATGAGGTGGAAATTTTCAAAAAAAAAATAACATTTTATTTATTTAATTGCCACGTCACACATTTAACGGTCAACTTTTAGAGTTAGACTGCCACGTAAGCAAAAGTTAACGGAGTTGGACGGAGAGTGACCAAACGTGAACGATTTCAGTAAACTGAAGTACCACTAATGAATTTAAATATTTTGAACGATCAAACTTGAACGTTTTTAGTAATCTCAGTGACCGCCCATGCAATTAACCCTTTTTATAACACTATTATTGAAGTTATTATAACAAGAAGTAGAAGAAAACAAATCCAACAACCAGAGGACATTGTCGGTCACCTTTAACGGATGCCCCTGCCCCCAATGCATATGTCGTGACATCATCCTTATTCTCACACGACAAAACAAAACAAAACAAACGAATATAACTAGAGAAACGAGGCAAACAAGGTCCAAGTCGGGGAGGAGAGATGGCAGGTCTAGCAAGGCCACAGTTCGTGCTGTTTGGGTCATCAATTGTTCAGATGAGCTTCAGCAATGGCGGATGGGGTGCTATTCTCGCCGACATCTACGCTCGTAAGGTACAAAACCGGCCCCCACTTCCTCCTCTTCCCTCCCTCCCCCATTTTACTATCTTCATTCAGCACCGCCACTGATGAACTGGGCAGAGCAGGCGGACATAGTGTTGCGAGGATATTCAGGTTGGAACTCCAGGCGAGCTCTCCAAGTTCTCCATCGACTCTTCCCCAAAGACGCCGCCGTCCAGCCTTCCCTCGTCGTCGTTTACTTCGGCGGCAATGACTCAATTCACCCGCACCAAACAGGGCTCGGCCCTCACGTCCCTCTTCCAGAATACGTCGACAACATGACCAAAATCGCCCTCCATCTCAAGGTACATACTTCAAAATCGCCAGTTCCATAAAACCCACTACATATATATTTTGATTCCTCTCAACCGTGGGGTTGGGAACCCCTTTCTGGCGCAGAGCTTATCCGACAAGACCCGGGTGATTTTCCTCACTGCCCCTCCTGTAGCCGAGGACCTTATGAACACAACGCTAGGGTGAGTCAAGTCTCTCCCCTTTTTATTTACTGTCCTGTCTTGATCTTCATTTGATTGAATGATGTTATATGTTATGAGATCATTGTGCAGTAATGTGTTCGACATGGTTCGGACGAATGAGGCTTGTGGGGTTTACTCCCAAGCGTGCATGAAGCTGTGCGACGAGATCGGCGTAAAAGGAGTGGATCTCTGGACTTCGATACAGCAAACGGACAACTGGAAGAATTGCTTCACGTAGAGCTTCTTACCTTCTTCTAGCTTGGGTTCAATCAAGCACACACAAAAAGAGCAAAGCTTGCTCTTGTTGCCTGTTTTCTTCTGCTTGGTGAGCAAAGCTTGATTGTTGGCTTGGTTTTGGCAGGGATGGAATCCATCTGTCGCCGCAAGGGAGCACGGTGGTGGTGAAGGAGATTCTCAAGGTCATCAAGGAAGCAGAATGGGAGCCTAGCCTCGACCGCAGATTCATGCCGGTCGAGTTTCCAGAAGATTCGCCATACGATATGGTTGGTAACGAAGGGAAGACTATCAATATCTGCAATTTCGACTTCAACAAAATTGCTCTCTGGGATTAATGAGAGTTCACTGCCAGTAGACAGGGTTTCGCGTCAATTCTGTCTATTTTAAGTTTTAGCTATCCATCCAATGATGTCCCTATTCTATTTGTAATTTGATCGACTGTCCCAGGACAAGAAAACAAAGGGACATTGTGTCGTCCATAATAATGAACACAAGAAATAAGTCAAACGTGTAAAAAAATTGAATCAACTCACTCGATCATGTCTCATCTTTGTTTGTTCTGACGTAGTTATATTACAAGAGAAGGTAAGTTAAAGTTCCTACCAGATGTGCCCCAGCCAAACAACCCCGCCTTCACCATTCTCCCTAAATGTGTCCAGCGACGAAGTCATACAGATTCCCCCAAACCAAGCGTATATAACATGTATATTATCCGTTACAAAAGAATGATAATACATACAAAATGAGCAGAGCATGAACAAAAGGCAGCAGCAAAACCACGAGAGAAAAAAAAACAGATAGCAAGGAAACCAGCACAATTTCCCCCTTCTAAAGCTCCCCCGGCAACCTAATTCGAACCATATCTGCAAATCTCTCTTCAACGCTCAGATTCTTTACTTGCTCGGTAGACAAGACCAAATACGGAAAAACACCACGCCGGAAAACAAAGAGACAGATTCCACTGACCAGTCCAAGGTAGCACTCGCATTGATGATCAGAACATGCTTCAGCTCGAGAGTTGGAACCTGCCACTAGGTTTTTTCCTTTTCCATCCCTATGATGGTACATGGAAAGGATGTGGTCAGATTATCATATCCCAAGTCTAACATAATTATGAAAGAAGAGTGACGGAGTAGACAACAAAGTAGACCAGGAAACTTACAAAGGCAGCGTAATATACGAAAGTCAAACCCGCAAGAACAATGAATGCGATTTGGAACACATTGTACCTGTTCAGATGAACAGCTCAATTAGTCAGTGCCAGTTCTATAAGATCCTACAAACAGTCAGAACTCCAGTATTACAACTCACTTGTAAAGATATTTTATCCCACGAAGAGATTGCAAAGTGTGGCCAAAAATTTCTTGAGCTGCAGTTGCTTGTGCATAATACCCAAAAGCCGTGGCACAAAATTGGATCACACTGAAAGAGCAGGCAGAAAAAAGGCAGTCACTCATATTCAAAGCCAGAGAGATAAGAAACTATCCATCCCGTAGTAAAGAGTCTGCATCAGACATATCTTAGCAAAACAGGAAATAAGTTATCTCAAAATAAGCAACTACCAAAACTACAAGCAACTATGGTTAACAGTTGAGCGTCGTGGATCAAGGCACAATCTAGTAGATAAAAGACACCTACCTAATCGAGCACAGGAGAATGAGTCCCACATTGAAAAGGAATGAGTTCATGAGAGTTGCGCCCCACCTGTTAAGTGCAAATTTCACTAATCAGTACCACTAAAAAATGGTTAAAGCATCACAACTGAGTATAAGGGTTAAAAAGTTTATTACTTCATGGGATGGATTGTGATGAAAACTAATCTGAGCCCCAGCATCATTGCACCAGCCACCACAGCAAGGAGAAGATAAAAGCAAAAGAAAGCAAATGCTGCAGTACCAAGAAGACCTAGCAGCATAGCGCAGAGGATTTACATAAGATTTTAGATTTAACCCAACAAAAATGGTAGAGAAATACAACAACAATTCAAGCTCACCCCACACGTCGTCCAACTTAATGAAAACCTCGTTGAGGAGAGGAGAAAGTGGAGGGTCAATCAGTAGATATATGATAATATGCACAATCCAAGCCACTGAGACAATCAACCTGCAAAAGGAACAAATTGGATGCCACAATCAAAGGGCAGGGTAGGAACAATTGGATTAGCCATTTTTCATAATGAAATAGCCACAATAAGAGCAAAGAAAAACTAGGCTAATTCCTGCAAGGTAGTCTCCACATAAGGAGAGTGTTGTGTACGAACAGAGGGTTTCAGAACGGGTAGTAACTTATACAGATATTACAATCAAATAACGGATGAAGACAAAAGTTGCTGACTAAACACTATATGTTTCAAGGTCGGCACTTACCCCAAGACTCCCAGCACAAGTTTTGCCAAATAACCAAGTATAGTGAGAGCCCAAGTAGTCTCGGCCTGAAAATGCCAGATACGTAATTTTAAAACCAAGACAACAAAAACGTGTCTATTTATCCAACCAAGAAGCTATATTCACACCTTTTCTCCTTGAGGGTACATCTCTTCAAGCAACTTTACATCTTCTTCCAACTGATGCAATTCCTGAAAGTTCAACCATGCCAGAAAGAAGCATCAATAACCTAAAGGGACAAAACCAACCTGCAGCATGATCAGCATACTGTGTTTAGGTCACATGTATCACCTTCTCAACTGCCTTAACATTTTTACGCCATTTTCTCCCCTTAGCACCACCTCTCTCTTCCTGATGAAGTGAATCAGCTGCCTTCTTAAGATCTCTTGCTTTTTTACCAAGCTCTGTTGCTTCCTACAGAATGTATACAGACATGATCTTAGGAACCTCTTTCATTGCCTATTTTCTATAGTGTATCTAACAATCACCTTAATGTACTGTGAACGCGTGATAACAGCCTTTGGTCGCCGGATGAATGAAAAAATGAGTCCCAGAGGCAAACACGCAATGCCAACGCCACCAAATATCTGAACATTTGCAAGACAGCAACAAAATGAACATGTCATTGGAAAGGACAAACATGAGTGCCTTCAATTTTGGATATAGTGTTACTAAGAACACATATAAACATGCCAACTCCCATTATCCATATGAACAAACTGGGAAATTCCTCAAAGACAGCAGAAACGGAAAGCAAAACATCTTCATGGACAGCAAAAAAACAACATTTGGAGTAGAAGGATCTCACCGAGAAAAGCACAGATCCAGCTATTGTAGCAAGTGCAACAACATATTCAGGAAATGTGGTTTGCATAGTCCAAGTCTTCTCTGAAGCGGCATTGGCAAGATATGCTGAGCACTGTAACCAATGGTAAAAAGCTTTAGAAGGTGAGTCAGAGAGGGCAGGACAAGTGAACTAAGAAACAGGCAAAAGTTCGAGGTGCCCTCAAGTGCAGAATGAATTTAGATGAATAAAGGAACAGAGAGAAATTCATCAACAATCAGCAAGATGAAGGCCAGGCAACATAATGATAACCTGGCGAGCATTATTTCCGACACATGGTTGACTTGTGGAGAAACTCCACGAAGTAGGAAAGTTTGTAGTGGTCGAGGAAAGATGCCTAACTGTGAAATCCACCTTTCCAACTAGCCCTGATATAGCACCAAAGAGCATAAAGTTAATACTGGCTCCAATGCCATTCACACATTTCTAAGTAGGTTATCGAAATCTTCCAACATTCGGTAATGGGTTTAGAATGCATATTCATGAGGAAGATACTCTAAATAGAAATGCCCAGCCAATGACCTTCTAATCGCAGAATTACAGTCTCAAGAAGCAACTAATATTTTCATGCCTCGGAACTTCCAAACTCAGAAAATTCATAAACCTAACAGACACTGATCACCCCACACTAAAAAGCTAAACAAAATCACTAACCATATAAGATGCCAAGCAGAAGCGCGCATACAATGGCTGTCGTTATCACCCACATCAGTGCGCTCTTAATCCGCTTGCCCACAGTCCTGCAACCAAAAAAGAGCAGTCAGGAACGCAATTCATAAATGACCAGCGGTTCATTATGGACAGCGAAAGGAGCTTTTGGGCACTTGAGAGAAAATGAAAGGGGTAAAGATCACCAACTTGTCTTGGTCCCCCTCGTAGTAAAACATAGCGAAAGGGATGATGAAGAAGACCAGCACAGCGTCGATGATATAGACAGCGATCCAGAGATCCTTCATTGGCAAAGTGAGACTACAGGCACCATTGTATATCGCGTGGCGACAGGCCTGCCGGTTAGCGACGTCGGCCGGCAGCATCAGTATGGAGATGACGGCGACGGAGAGGCCGAAAACGACCACGAATTTGGGGAAGTAAGCTTGGTTCTTGTCATCCGGGTGTTGGTAATTAACCAGAAGGTAGACATTGAAGATGAAGACGATGACGCACACCACTATAGCGACGATTATTAGGGCGAGATTGAAATCGCCCATCCTTGCTTAATCAGCTCTCTCCGGACTCTAAGAAGACACCGCAACCGATCAAGAGATTACGACGGAGGAACCCGCGAATAGGAGGAAATGATTCGAAAATGGAGGGGGAAATTAGGGTTCTTTAAGGTAGCTGAATTTGAAATTTTTGGGTTAGATCTGGTCACTTTCAGGGGCAAAAGGAGAAGAACGCGGGGGAAGTTTCGGGTTTGGCTCCGGTGAAGAGGTGATGTCTTGTCTTCTGGAGTTGTGGGCGAATATGACGAGTGATGTGGTTAAATGACGATTCCACCCTCCATCAGGTGTCGAAATCGCGAGGGGTGTACTTGGGAAATGATCCGAATGGTTTGGGCCTTTGGGGCTTGGGGGGGATTTCATACTCGCGCCCCTGGCTGACTAAGCATCGAAACACAAACAGCCTGTCCAGACGAGGTTCGGTTTTGCCAGCTTTTTTCAACTCCTTGAGGCGGGACGCCATGGCAAAGGAAACCGGATCGTACCAGCCGGTTGAACCGGTAAAATCAGAAATCGAACCCTGGGCGATATAGTAGGTTATTGGTGGTAAGAAAACCGTGTCGTCCAGTTTTTCCGGTTAAACCGACACAATGCGAAATACCGCCCGGTTTTGATCTAACTGGGGTAGGCTTATGGGAAGGGAACAACGTCGTTTTTGGCATAAATTTTTTTTTTTTGAAATCAGTCGAGACCAATGCTCAAAACCCTAAATCAACCAAACGAAAAAAGACTAAAAGAGTAGTCTTTCGTTTCCAGCGGCTGGCGACCTGGAAGGCAGGAACCCCCGTCGCGGCGTCGCTCCTCTTCTCCTCTGGCGACCAGGAACCGCCGACCCTTCAGGTCGTGACCAGCAATCCTCTACCGGCAAAGCCACCAGCGCTCCGTGCTCTGCCGCTGCTCCTCCTTAGTCGGCGCCCGCTCCTCTCTGCTCCTCCTCAGGCCAGCCGGCACGCCTCTCCCTCCCCTGCTCAAGAAGAACACGCCGCCTAGGAAGACTGGTGACTGCTCAAGACAAGAACACGGCGGGTATAGGTAAGAATTTTACCTTTTTAGTTGTTTAGTACTTTGAACGAAAAGGAAATGTTGTTTGGTTTGAGAATGTTGTTTGAACTTGTGGTTCGAGAATGTTGTTTTGTTGGTTTGTACTTGATCCTAAACATGCATTTGAACGATTATGTAGTTAATTCAGTAATGTTGCAGAGTTTGTTGCTTGTTATATTACATATGCCTATTTAGTTTATTCAGGTTTGTTATCCGGTATATTCCGGTATTACTCTGAAACGGTATCCTGAATCTGCTGGTACGGTTTTTTAACCAAAAAATATTTTTTAATTACAAAAACGGTATTTTGCCGGTACACAATGATTGAACCACGTTCGTGCCACAAAATATCCTATCGCTGATGGATCCGATATGACCTCTGGTACGGTTTCCTTAACTATGCGCTACAAACGTTGTCGTAAAGGGACAACTTTATTAGTTATCGTCCTACTATTGTCAAACCAGTTTATACCGTTATGATGATTTAGTAAGTGATTTTGTTCGAGTGGTACAATTGATTTATACCTATCAATATTGGTTTATCAAAATATGTAAAAATATAAAAAATCATTAACATTAAATGAATTTAAGCATATTATAACCATGTTTGAAGACAATCACTTACAATCTACATTCATATTTAAATATCAATTAAACTTTGATAAAAAAATACATTCATATTTAAATAAAATAAAACCTTTCAAACAAACTAACAAATATTTATATTTAAATACAACTTAAAGTCAACACTCAAATACCATCAACATTTAACATCAACATTTACCTTTCAAATTCATAAAATAAATCACAAATTAATTTTTTGTTAATTAAATTCACCGAAACTAAATCATTTTTTAAAAACCGGTAACCAGTCATGTTAGTGGTATTTCAGTCGATTTCATAACTAGTACCAATTATACCAGGTTCAACCGGTCGACACTCAATTGAGGTGACAACCATGATCCCAACTCTCACTGTTTGCACAAGGGTGAGTTGGCGACAAAATTTGGCAAGAGAAGAGATGACTTTCGATGTCTTTCTCTACTCTCTATGATTAGAGATGACAATGGGTCGGGTTGGGGCGGGTTTTGTCAAACCCAAATCCATGGGTTTATCCGTCAAAAAAACCCGGGGTAAAACCCGTTGGGTTTGAAAAACTCAAACCCAACCCAACCCGCTAGGTATCCGCTGGTTCATGGGTACCCGTGGGTTTTTATGGTAAAATATTTACTATAACAAGTTTCTTTCAAAATAAAAGTTTAACATCAATTTTCTCATACAAATTATTCATACAAAGAACACTTATCTAGAGCATACAAGCAAACCGCAAATGATCAATACAAATTGTTCAAAATTAAAGATAAACATCTATAAACCACAAGATTAATTGAAAGTTTCTTCCTTGTCAACTAAGTTTCTTCACTCTCCACTCCATAATATCAACTTCATTCTAAACAATTAGAAAGAATAAATTATACATGTCTCCACAAACATAAAGAATATTAGTTTGTTAATGAAGATATATTATTTAGAATATTAAATATACCGGAAAAGATTATATATGTGTGGGCGGGTTTACCTAAACTCAAACCCAACCCGGTGAATAGTGTAGCGGGGTTAAACCCGAACACGGCCCAAAATCCGTCAACACAAATTTTACCCGCGTTGACTGGATTGGGTCGGGTGGGTACCCGTGGGATCGAGTTTTGTTGCCATCTCTATCTATGATGTGTGATCATCACACATGGTTACTCTGATGTATCATGGGTTTCTTGCTCTTAAGAGAGCAAATATATAACTTTTAATGTCTCTCTCGACTCTCTGTGATGGGTTAGAGCCGAGGGCGCTCAACTAGGTTTGGAGCTTTGGCCTCTAGGTTGGGTAATGGGTGAGGTAGAAAACGTGGAACAGAACATTCAGCTCGATTTTGGGATACGTTTTTCGATTCAAAAAATTATATCTTGGTTAATTCAATTATACCTTGGTCTCCTAAAGATAGTTTTTTATTTTTCTAATTATTGTATTGATTGCTATCCTATGTTGATTAGGGGTGGTTTAGGACTGGCTCAGTTTGGGTTTTCTGAATCAGATGTCTCTCTGACCTTGAACACTTGATGGACTCTCACAATTCCGCCATTGTCTGACAAATAGGAGGAACCAATTTGAGGGGGGCCTAAAATGGATAGAGGTTATAAATTTTAGGGGGTGTAAGTGGAGAAGTAAAATATTGTTTGGATGGAAAAGGTACGACAATATAAAGCGAGGTGAGAAGATATGCATGCTTGTTATAATATTGGTGAAATTTGAATAATAAGAGCTACAACCGGGCATGTCGCACCACCCATACGCCTATGAAGAAGTGGGTACCTCCGGGAGTTCTGAATTTACTACCGACCCGGAGAAAAAAAAAATCAGACGAGGAAGCCTTTAACTTGGAAAAGTTGACAACTATCAACCTATTTCCTTGTAAGGCCAATTATCGGGTGAGGGATTGACAGTCTGTGGGGTGGCTATCCACCCAATTATAGTGTACTGGTGCAAGGCGCAGATTCTCCCACCAACACGAATGTCAACAAAATGTTAATGTACATCAACGTGCTCGGACTGCCGAAAGAATGGGACTAGGTCATCCCATCTACTGAGGGGTGCTTTGGCAGCTATCCGTCCAACTGGATGTGCGTCTACATGGAGTTGTTCAAGTTCAGCCTCAAGATTCTACTGGAATCCAATCTTATCAAGACATTTCACTCTTTGTAAGCTTTTTTCTTCCATCATCTTCCACTTGTGCGCTTTCAAACTAGTATGTCACAAGCTACGTTTGCCAAGCATGGACTTATTTCACACGCTTTATTCGATAAAGAAGGGTAGGACCAACTCGTCCATCAAAAAGAGGGAAAAGTGTGGCTTCGGCTACTTTATCTGATAGGTTAGCCACAGCTTGGCAGGTCATGGTTTCACATCTTCTTTTCATCCATCGCACAAGTTGATGGTATGACGGCAATCAAGCCACAACGGTTATTTTCAGCCGAGGTATGATTTAGAAATTCAATCACACCGAGGGTCTGGACAATGACCAATAGGTGTATTTGAACCTCATTATTGTGACGTGCATAGGCATGAGGCACTAACAAGATTTGATAATAGCACGTCATGGGCGAGCTTTACCATTTTAGGGAGCGCATTCTTTTCACTTATGATACTTTTCTACTCTATTACATCTTATCCTCGCCCCATTTTTAATATAACGTTCTTGTTTTTTTTTTTTTTTTTTTACTTTTGATTTCTTTATGCAAACTTCGGTTATGGGACTCTAATGACCTTGAGTAGGCCTAAGAGAAAGGGAGAGAAAATGCTCCTTTTCACATCTTATTTTTCATCCACCTCATTAGTTGAAGGTATGACAGTGATTATGCAACAACTATCTTCAGTCGGGGCATAATTTAGACCTTTAATCACGTCAATGGTCTGGACAATGATCAACAAGCGCACTAGAACCTAATTCTTGGAAAATTTATAGGCATGAGGCGCCACCGAGATCTGAGGAAAGCGCGTGTCTTGGGCGAGATTTACCACTTTGGGGAGCGTATTCGTGCTTTTCACTCGTGATACTTTTCTATGCGCTTACATCCTATCTCCACCCCATTTTTTAATATAACTTTCTTGTTTTTAAAAATTTTGAATTTCTTTATGAAGACTTCGATTATGGGACTCTAACGTCCATGAGTAGGCCTATGAGAAAGGGTGAGAAAGCGTTCTTTCATCCTTCTGTAGTTGACTTGCTCACTCCTACAGCCAAATGGTGAATGGAGGGTAAGGCGTGAAAAGAAATGGCAGAGGATGTGCACAAAACACATACTACCCCAACCAATCCTACTATCGGGATGGTACGCAAGTCAAAGCATGCAAGCTCTACAAGCTAAGTCCCCATCAGTCGAAGCAAAGCATTTGTGCCAAGATGAAGATGGTACTTGGATGGTGGCCCATAAATTCTCGAGTGTTGTTGGTCCTTTGAGCGTTGCTGGGGTGCATTCTATGTGCGGTACTCTCGGGGACTTGGAGCGAAAATTTGAAGGTGCATTCTTCTTATTTGGTGACCCCTCGACCATCACTCATCTGAAGGGCGTCTTGAATGTGGCAAGAGCGCTCTATGAGCTTCTTAATCCCCCCACCATCGCTACCAACAACTTCACTAGGGCTTTCCTTTAGTCCATGTTCCATGCAATTGCACTCTTTTAATCTTGCTCTCATGTGTTTGTCTTTTAATATCTACTTTGCATACACAATTCCTCTTTATGAAAATTGTATTTCAGATGCAACAACACATGAAGGCAGTTGTCACTACTAGAAATGCAGGTTATCTGCAGTCAGTGCTCGACTCTGCTCAGGCAGAAGTAGGTGGCCTAACCACCTAATTGGACAAGGCAAAATATACGGGTGGGGGGAAGTGGAAAGGTTGTTGTCCACATGTTTGAAAGATGAGCGTGAGAAGGTCGAGAATGATTTTACCTCCCGTCTTTCCACCAAAGCTACGATCATCGACACCCTAACAGCCTGCCAAAACCAAGTAAAAAAGGAGAAGGTAGTCGTGAAAGCCTTAGTTTGTGATCTCCAAGAGAAGTTGGCACACATTGACGCAGACTTTGCCTAGGCACGTTCCTCCATGTGTGATCATCTGAATTCATGCACCTACTGGCATAAGAATATTATGGAGGATGTTAAGCTCAAGACCATCTACATCATGCCTAAAATGGTGAAGGAAAAGAACCCCCCCCCAGCTGAATTGCAACACCATGGATGTATATATGGATGTGTTGAACCACTTCCATATGGCGGCTGATGGAGCAGAGCTGGTGCACTCTGACCTCGTGGTCTTTAGTGAAGACAAAGGTGGTGAGGTTCAAAGAGGTGGGCCTTCGGAGATCAGACATAGGGTGATGGGCTTTCGGGTGACTAGGTGTAGGGTTAGATTGTATTTATGGGTTTGCTTGTTTGAGCTTCCTCGTCCCCTTTTCTTTGTCTTATGTTTGGATTAATAACCCGCTCGAGCGTTCTAATTTAATCGTTGTTCCTCACATCTACCACTCCCTCCACATCAATTTCTGTTGTGTCTATTTCTTCTTAACTCCGTTCTTGGATTGGGCACGCAACGGTACGAGCACTTCCAATTTAACGTTACCTTTGGATAGTCAATTCAAGGCATTTATATACTCAAGAAATGTCATACTCGATTGCCAGTCCGCGTGTCTTTCAATTATCAAAACTGACACTATAGTGGATGGGATGTTTGCTCTACGCGGAGTCAAATGCTTGGGCTTTGACATGAATGCTTCTCGCTTAGTGAGGCTTTGTCATGATAACGGGCATCAATTTGATCATATGCTTAGTAAGGTGATTGGGCTTTGGCTCATGCACTTCTCGTTTATTAAGATTTCTCCATAGTAGTGGGTGGGATATATGCTCCTTTGTTGATTCAAATGTTTGTCCTTCAGCCTGTGCACTTCTCGCATAGAAAGGCTTCGTCGCGGTAGGGGGTGAGACATTTTCTCATCTACCGAGTATAATGTTTGGCCTTTGGCATGTGCGCTTCTCTATTGACGAGACTTTGAGACTATAGTCGACAGGATATGGGGCTTGCTATTTGCCGCCAACCAAATTGCTATTTGCCGCCAACCAAAAAAAAAAAGTATATATATGCATCTTTGGTTAAGGAGTTTCACAATCTACAACATATCCAACTTTCAGAGAACGTATTTAATCAGAAAAATTCAACGCTCGCCGGAAAAGTCGCCGGAAAATCATCGATGAAAAAAAATGTATATATATATACATCTTTGGTTAAGGAGTTTCACAATCTACAACATATCCAACTTTCAGAGAACGTATTGAATCAGAAAAATTCAACGCTCGCCGGAAAAGTCGTCGGAAAATCATCGGGAAAGCCTATCCTCGACATATAATGCGTACACGCACCCATGAATCATCACTAACCATCAGACAATGTGGGCAAAGTGCTACACGAACCATGTGTTTCAAACCCTAAACCCTAAACCCTAAACCCTAAGTGAACCCTGAACCCTAAACCCTGAACCCTAAACCCTTTGTTGATGTGACTTGAATCGGACTATCAGCCGCTACGACTGGTAATCGGGGGTCTCGCTGCCCGGTTAGCGAGTGGGGTCCAGGGGCAACGCCCCCGGCCCACGGTGTATGGGCTCAATGTTATTTGGGTTCGGGTTCTGGGCCTGATCTGTAACCGTTTCCTTTGTCATATTGGATTAGGTTTAGACCCACATGGAGAAGTACTATAAATACTTCGTGTTAGTGAACCATGTAAATCGTGTGTCGTGTTGCAATGCTCTATTTATATGTTGTTGTTTTTCTAGTTGTATTTTTAATGACCCTAGTGTCATTATGAACTTATGAATTTCATTATGGATTTCTAGCGAGTTCGGGGTCGATTGGACGAAGATTGGGCGCGAGGCAAGTCAATCGTCGGTCGCCGGCACCGTTCTTCCGTCGTCGGCTAACCTCCCGTCGCCCTCAATCGTCGGAAAACAAGTAAGTTTACTTTTTCCGGCCAGTTTTCCAGTTTTCCGGCGAAAAACACGGCGGGCCGAAAAAAAAATTGCGGCCCGAACGTCGCCGAGCCGAAAAAAATTTGTGGCCGGGACGACGGCCGGAATTTTTTTTCGGCCGGCAGACGACCACGCCGTCGGAAAATTTTTGGCCGGCGTGTTCGGCGACCGGCCGAAAAAAATTCTTTCGGCCCGACGTCGCTCCGGCCGCAAATTTTTTTCGGCCGGCCGACGAACACGCCGCCGGAAATTTTTTGGCCGGCGTGTTCGGCGACCGGCCGAAAAAAATTTGCAGCCGTGGCGTCGCCGGGCCGAAAGAGATTTTCGGCCGGCCGTCGTCCCGGCCACAAATTTTTTTCGGCTCGGCGACGTTCGGGCCGCAATTTTTTTTCGGCCCGCCATGTTTTTCGCCGGAAAACTGGAAAACTTACCGGAAAACTGGAAAACTGGCCGGAAAAAGTAAACTTACTTGTTTTCCGACGATTGAGGGCGACGGGAGGTTAGCCAACGACGGAAGAACGGTGCCGGCGACGGAGGCACTGGGAAGGAAGGGAAAATTCAAAATTAAAATTTTTTTTTTTTTTACCGGCGACGGAGGCACTGGGAAGGAAGAGAATATTCAAATTTTGAATTCCTTTTTTTTTTTAGTTGGCGGCAAATAGCCTTTCACCAGGATATATGCTCTTCCGTCGAGGTAAATGTTTGGTTTTTGGTCGTTGTGCTTTTTTGCTTAGCAAGGCTTCACCGTGGTAGTGGATGGGAACTCGTGCATAAGGTATCTTAGGAAAATTTGTAATCGGGAACAAGGGCGAATTAATGATGAAGTGTAGTTTTTTTGTTGATAAGTGTTCGATGTGCATGCGAGTGATATGCAATCAAAGTAATAAAATTCATAGATATGTCTAGGATCGTATTCCACAAGGTCTTCTAATAATAACTACTCATAACCAATTATCTAATGCTCAAACAAAGACACATCATATATTGATGAGTTGAGGTTCCCTGTGTTTAGTAATTACAGAGATATATCATAAAAGTAAATCATAAACGAAATGACAAGATAAGTAAAGGATACACAATTGATAAGAAAGTTCATCATAGATGATCAATACATCTCAATCGCAAGCATTGATGCATCTTTTATAATGTAACCCTATCCCTTCCACTAAAGCATTCCTCACTACAACTAGGGGTGGGCATTCGGTTGGTTCAGTTTCGATCAAACCGAAATTATGAATACCTGGTTCACAAATTCCCCCAAACCTCAAATTGAATTCAAACAGAATTATAATTCGGTTCGATCGGTCTAAACCAAATTATAATTCGGTTTGGTAAAGAATTTCACACAAAACCGAATTTGTGAGACTACTTGTATTTTCTCCCTTTTTAATTATTTTTTTACCCCTAGTATAAACAATAAATATGCAATTATATGCATCATCAATGATAGAATCAAACATTTCAACACATAAGTCATAAAACACTAACATGATATTTAAGTTTGAAAAAATTACAAACATAAAAATCCACCATTTGGAGCTTGCAATTATAGTAATTCGATTTTTCGGTCGGAAAATCGGAAAATCGGTTCGGTTGAAAGAACCCTGGTTCCCGAAATATCCATATTTCCCTTCCTAATTCCGAACCGAATAACATTATTTCGGTTTTGGTTTGGTTTAATTCAGGTTTGGTTCTGTTCGGGTTTTTCGAACCGGTTGTGCACCCTAACTACAACATTATTTGTCTATTGTGAGGCTCTGTTTTTGTCATAATAGTTGTCTATTTCATCACAACATTCCTTTTGTGACGAAATTCTTTGTCACAAAGTTTCGTTGCAAGAACCTTGTAGTAATAGATCTATTGTGACAACATATTAGTTTCCGTCACAATAGTGTTAAACGTTTTGTGAACGTATTCGTCACAATAAATAGTTATTATGATTAAATAAATTTGTAAAATTAAGGTGATATCTTTGTTAGAAAATACTTCGTTTTTGTCACAATATACGTTATTTACGGGCACCTGTTGTGATGAACCTTTAGATTGTGACAATATTGATTGTTTTTGTCATATTTGTATTTTTTGTCACATTTTTAATAGTTATTATGACAAAGCATATATGTCACAATATGCGATATTTTGTTCTGACGAATATTTAGCCCATATTTTGTTATTTTAATCAATGCAGTCAAAATCGCGCTTAAAAACTTATGATTTTACGCTTTTAGATTAGCAAAACTCTTTCGGTTCCATATAAAAACTTTAGTGTATAAAATCGTACTAAATTGTGCAGCTTACGGTTTTACGCTTCTACTTCACCAAAACGCTTTACGTTTTTACGCTTTAAGTTCACCAAATGAGTATTCTTTTCATGAAATTAAAGGTAAATTACCAACAATATGATACATTTGATATTAAAGGTACATATCAGGTACTTGGATGCATTCTCGGCTTCAATAGAGTAATCTAATTCACCAGATAAGCTCTTCCCAAATTCATTAGCATAAAGGGGACGGTGGCTTATTGTTAAGATTTATGTTTATGAACTTATTATTAAGAGACGATAAGTTGTTCTACTTTATGCATGAATTATAGTTATTTATTAACTTATCTAAATTATGTGCACTCATATTTTATATAGTATATGTCGTACTTAACATATTTTTAGTTATTTTACAGCATGCGTAAAAAATTTACGTTTTGACGCTTTAATTTTACGCTTTACGATATTGCCCATTTTCCGCTTCTAGGTAGAATCGCGCTTTTGACTGCATTGATTTTAATTCACGTTCTATGAAATAAATATTGTGACAAAAATATTTTTGTCATTTTAATTTATTCCACAAAAAGCCAATATCTACTGCTACATAATATTGGTGTTCCTAATCAATTTCATTATCCAAAACTTACAGAAAGACAAATTCATAGCCTAATAAACATTTATATTCCGAATAATAGTTTAATACAATAAAAACATGCATGTTCCTTACATCCTACAACATTTAGAGCTTAAAGGTGTTAGACCCTAAATAGTGAGCGATGATGAATGGGCCTTCGCACTTACCAGAAAGCTTTTATTGCGCCTCCTCTTCTCCATGATCTTATAGAGCGCTAGATCGCATTCCTCCTAATGTTGTTCTTCGATTACGTTGTTGTTCTAATTTGTCACCTGCTTCTTGAACTCGTTCGATCATTTCATCCCCTTGCTACTCATCATATGCTTCCACCCTAGCCATGGGGATGGCGGCTTCCACCAGATTAATGACATCAGTTCAGTAAGTAAGACGAAAATGCATCTCTATGGTTGTCGTCTTGTAGGTTGTTTAGTGTGCCCGGAAGATGTAGGGTAGCTGGTAAACCATATTGACCTTATTCAAAAAAAAAAAAAAGACCTTAGGCTTCTCTAAGATGTTCATGACTTGACATGTCTATTAGCCTACGGGAATTCGATGGACACCAAAAACAATTCCATGTTATTCCGACTGCAAAATTCAAGAGTATAATCTCTCCAAAATTAAGTGGTTAAGCTAATTAAAGACAATACCTGATTTTCCTTTTTGTGTTATAACTAATGGTAAGCGAATTATACTTGGACATCTCACTGTAACTCTAATTCTTTTTTTTTTTTTTTATCATTCCTCCTATAATCTCTATT